GCAATATGGTTCATGGGGTCACGAAGAGTCGGACACGACTTAACGACTAAACAACAAGAAAGTTCTTTATACACATCTCCATATGAATTCCATAAAATAAAAAGGAAAAGAAAAAGGTTAAATTAAATTTGTTGATTAATTGTGTTAATTATTGCTGGTATCTTTATACTTTGTACCTGGAAGTCTGTCCCTACTTGTCTGAATGTGTGGGTGCATGCATAACCATTTTGATTCAGCTTTCAAAACAGTTGAGTGAACCTTCCAAAGAATGTGGCTACCTAAATTTATTTATTTATTTATTTATTTATTTATTTATTGGATTTCTCCACCGCCCATCTCCCCCACAATAGGGGACTGAGCAGCTTTGAGAAAAGGTGCTTCACTTAAACCAATGAGTTTGCACAGCCATAACATAACATCAACCCTCCAGAATAGATTTGAGGGATGATTAAGATCTTGCTGCAGTGATGGAGAATCCCATTGGCCAGTAGTGTCCATCTGCTGAAGGATGGGCACATCTGGATGCTACCTAGGTCAGCAGTAGCTGTGGCTGCTGATTCAACAGAGAAGCCTGTGAGTGGTGGCGGTGGGGGAAGGAGAATGTTCATTTCCTGACTCAGAATATTTTGAAATACATAAAAAGGTTCCCACTGTGGGAAATTACAAATACAAATGAAACTTCTAGAAATTCTAGTGAAGAGTACTTTTTGCTATCTTGGGCTATAATATCTATATCTGAACCCTTATTATTTCCTTAATGAGAGAGAAAGAGAAAAAAGTCTCTTTCCAAATATAGTACAATTTACAAGGTAGAACATGACTTTTCCCTTTTACCCACTGCAGTCAGAAAAATAATTTTTGAATAAAAGAAGTCTGGACAACCCAATTTGACAATCGAGATCTCAGAAATAATATTTCTATAGTAATGCATCAGATTTCAAATACCGTTTTTTTCAAGCTCTATTTATTTCATTTTTATTCAAAGCCCAATTCGAATGCCTGTAATTGTTCAAGTGTTGGTAAAGGAAGAATGTGCCAACCCTTTTTACAATTAGAACTATCTCATTTTTTCTCTTTTTCTATTTCTATATGTTTTTTTTCCCTCTCCCTTTCCTCTATATCATAGAGGAATAAATGTGGGTATAATAGATGTAATAATAAATGACATTAAATGCACAAAAATATATTCATGTATTTCTTTGAATGTATATGCATCACATAGGGAATAAGCCAATACAGTTTCACCATATGCTTAAATATATTCCTCTGATTTTGAAAGAAAACGAGAGCCTACATGGTGTTGGCTAGCAAGTCTAGGTTTTACAGAAGGCCAGTCTGGTGAGTGGGGAAGGCACCAGGCTATAAACCGGGTGAGTTCTAGTCTCACCTTAGGCACAAAGCCAGCTGGGTGACCTTGGGCCAGTCCCTCTCTCTCAACCCTAGGAAGGAGGCAATGGCAAGCCACCTCTGAAAAATCTTGCCAAGAAAACTGCAAGGACTTGTCCGGGCAGTCGCCAGGAGTCAGCAGTGACTTGAAGGCATATATACACCCACACACTAGGTATTAGTAATGCTCTTCTTCTGAGCTGCTGACTTTTATGACCTGCCTTTGGCTCAGGGTTTGTCAATGGCGGACTGTGCTTATGTAAAATATCTGCTAGAACATAGCTTATGTCTTGCTAAGAAATATGGATGCACAAAAATGAGACAGCTGCCCCAAGGTAGCTTGTAAACTAGCCTTCTGAATGATCACATTTTGCATTCCTCTTTTTTGCTCAGAGTGGCTATTTCATGCCAGTTTTATGCTGGAATCCACCTTCAGTGGGTCTCAGTTGCATGATAATGTTTATTTCAGCCTCTTCAGATGGGAGTGGAGTCTGTCACTTTTAGGAACATCACAAACACAGTCTCAACTGTTCATCTCAGAAATTTTATTTATTTTCCAACAATATAATGGCATCCAAAATCCATTCCTTATGATAAGATTGTGAAAAACAAAGATATATATATATACACATACATACATACATACATACATACACTGGTGAAAAAGTTTTAAAACTTGATAATGTGGCCTTATTTTCTGTTGGAATGAAGAAGCAGCACACAGCCCCAATCTCTTGGTGCACAATGAACATCTCGGGCTCTCAGCTTTCAGAACTATAGCAAAAATACATTTTCTTTACATTACACTCAAAATATGTTTAAAGATACCTTTACTGTAATTATGCCTAGCCTTCTTTCTAATTCATTAAATTTTCTGATTGAAATGAAGTATGTGCATGTGGGTGTGTCGTAAGAGACCGTAAAAATGAAATTTTAATTATAAAATGACGTAACATCATTCATTATTAATAATCGCCAACAATGTGGAATATGTTTATATATAAAATCCATTAGGAAGATAAGCTGGCGGCCATCCTAAAATGAGACAAGCATTTCTCCAGCACATACAGGGAGGAAGAGAAGCAATTGTAAATAAGATTTGCAAAAAGTGCAAGCAGTTGGATTGATTCCCTAATAAATTGGGACATCCCATGCTGGGTCAAATTAAGGCCCATCTAGCATATTGTCCTCCTTTATAACTGGTTCTCTGTAAAGGATACTTGAGACGGAGGTATTGAAAAATCGAGGCTCCATTCAATCAATAACTGTAGGAAAAACAAGCGGAAAAAAAAACCTTCTGCCAATGCTATCATTAAATCTTATAGTATTAAATTCAGCATATTTTATTAATTATGTGTTGGATGAAGAACTATTGGCAGAGGAGAGGACTGTCTTAAATATACTACTCATGAAGCTGCCTTTAGTTTCCTGAAGTTGAGTTTTATCAGAAAAGAAAAAAAAACTTTATTTCCCATTCTGGAATATTGCATATACAATTCTTAAAACCCATTACAAGGCAGTTTCTCATTTCTTCTTCCCATCCAGAAAATCCTGAATTTGAGGGGAGGGGGGCATAAACTATACCAACTGTACAGGATTTAAAACAAGATGCATTTTGACAGTTCAAGCTGGCAAACATGAGTATTATTGTTGCTACTATGATTTAAATCAATCTATCCTTTGGTTCGAGGGAACCCCACCAGGATTTTTACTTTAGTGATAACAGACTTGGGAGACTTCCAGAGCCAGTTCAAGACATTCCCCACTTTCGTGACAAGACTCAAGGACGCTGCAGTCAATGTCACAGTTGCAGCTGCAGTCGCCGTTGTTGGGGGCATCGCTTGATGTTTGGCGATATCTATGGGAAGGGCAGCACATATTGATCAGCCAATTTTCACAGACGTCAGGCAACATGAACAGAAACTCCCAAAACTGGCAGAACAAGCAGGCCAGGATGAGTGTGGCACATTCATCTGTTTGCAAAGGGAAAAGTACAAAGAGTAAGATTCACAAGAGCGTCATGATAGATTCTTCACATTAAAACAAATAAATAAAGGATTTACACACTTCTCATGCTACGAATCACCAGAAACATTTCCCAGCACAAGCTAAATGTAATTACATAGCAGTAAGTCCCTCTTAGCTAAAGGGATCTTATTTATTGCTGCCTTAGAAACTGAACTAATATATAAAGAAAGATTATGAAAGGAAAGTATAGGTAGCAGACATTTATCTATCTGGCAGGGCAGCCTTGGTCAGGATCACTCCATCATGTGGCTTAAACCCTTTCCCCCCACATGCTGGCCTCCTGATTCCTGATCTCCATTTACTATACTTGTAATGTCTCCTTGACTGTGTGCATACGAACTTCCCATTTTAAAAAATAAAATAAGTTGTTAAAGGAGATGTCATACAGAACATTAAATTAAAAGACTCAATTAAATTAAATTAAATTAAGTTAAATTAAATTCTTGTGCCAAGGAAAGTACTATAGGGAGCATTAGTGCTCATGAGTGCCATATCAGAATTGGAGACTAATTTTTTTTTTTTTTTGCAAGGATTGACAGCCGAAGAGTTTTGCTGTTTAAATGAGAATGGCTCATTTATGGCTCCTGAAAGAAGATTCCAAGAATCTTAACTGCATCTTAAGTCTTCTAATAAGTTTGCAAAAATCCCAGGGAGCAAGAGTTATTGGCCTTTATTTAGCCATGGGACAACATTTTGAAAGGCAAACAGGAATGGATGTTGCAATTAGGTGCATAAACATACATTGTCACAATGGGAAAATGTCTGATCCATTTTAAGCTGAGTGTACTGACCATTACCATCATGTGTTTACCACTTGCTTAGACCTGAACCATCCTTCCCAATCATGAACACGATAGGAGTTACCATTTGGCTCACTGGCATTGATAAACACCCTTTGATGAGCATTTCTCAACAGAAGTCAAATTATATATCAATAACCACCTTAACATCAGAATAAAAAAGCAGCTCATCGCTAGGAGCTTTCTGTCAGTCAAAAGCCTCCTTGAGCATCCCAAATATTGCATTAAAATCTAGTTTTATAATATCAGATAATAACACTAAGAAGCACAGCATTGAATTAATTTTTATTAGTAAGCTATCATCCATAATATTATCAATTTTAATACTTATCTAAATTTGTCAGGGATCTATTTAAGTTCAGACAAGCACAAGTAACTTCCAAGTCAGTCTGAGAGAATGAAAATGACTAGATTTGGGAGATACTAAGTAAATTCATGCTTATATTTTTTTCTGAGTAAATGAACTGAAATAATTATCAAATTGAAACATGTTATAAGGTGACACTACTGCATTTAATTGTATGAAATTTACAGTGTAGAAAATGTAATCATTTTATCCAGTAGTCCATGGTGTAATTAAAGTTCTCTTTTAGGTAACATATTTATTAAGTTCTTCCTTCCCCCCGCCCCCCCCCCCAGTTTGGCACTCAGAAGAATATCAAATCCGAAGTTAAGCATCTTTTCAATTCTTACTTGAAATGTAAGATCTGTTTTCTTAATAATATGCACGTTCCTTAGTTTATTAACCTTGTTGGCATCTGCATAATTTTAATCAGAGAATGGATATTGCTCTTAAGGTTTTACCCATTATTTGCAGGACCACACAAAAAGACAACATTTTAATAAGAAAGTGATGTTCCAGCACATACACTGTGCCTTACATTAAAGATGCTTTTAAATCCCCATCAGAGCACATGCCATGAAACTGTGTAATGGATATAACACTTTTTGCAAGATCTGCTTGTATAACCCATTCTCTTCTTCCTCCCCCTCCCAGTATTTAAATGAGAAATGTTTAATAAACAATAAATATTAGCAATTGAGCATTCATTCCTATCCATTCATTCCTATATTTGAAAATAAATTAGCCACAAACTGCAGCAGTATAGATGCAGACCTTCTGTTTTCTGTTCTGCCTGCCTGGCTGCTCACACACAAAAAAAGAAAATTATTACTGGATCTATCTCAATAAAAGCAATGATCTCCCCTCTACATTAGTAGATTAATGATTACAAAAAGAACTACATTTAATAATGTTGTGACTTCACTCTACATTTTTTGATCCCAGTTGTTTTGACTGTCAGTCCAGTCTTGCTTTATACCACAATGTCTCCTAGCCAGCAGCTGATCCAAATTGTCCCATTTTTGAAGAAATTTCCATCAATATTTCTGGATGATGTGAACTGAATCATTTCTGCAAAGTGAGTTAAATTCTTTATTCCAATTGTATCATTAAGTTGCACCAAACATTTGTTTGATATTTCACCTGTGTATTTAATTTGGTTGCATTTTAGTCTTTGTGATTATTTCCCAAACCAAGATTTCATTCTCTTTTATCAAGATTTATGTATGAATTACAATTTTAAAGTGTGCTCTACTATTTACAACAGGTTTTTTTAAATTTATTTTTTATTTTGTATTTTTTGTCCAAGTAAATCTCATTTGTCCCCATGTTTCCTATTGGCTAATATATATTTCACTTAGTTCTGCAAAGTTACATCCATGCTACCCATGGCTACCTAAAGTTGGAACACATGTTTTTAGTCCATAGAAGCCAATATAAGGTTTCTCTTCTTTATTGTTCCATATTCGGCCAAAAGAATGCACATCTTGTGGAGGAGGGTGCCCTTGAAGTTTCATTGACATGCCATTCTGAAAAATTGGTCAGAACGCACTCTGAAGTAGGCCAGAACAAAGAAGGTCTAGGACAACAGATAGGCTTCTAACAGTCAAAACTGAAATAAACTACTCAGAGAGATAGGAGGTTCCCTGATCATATCATACATTCAAGCAGAGGCTGAATAGCCATCTGACAGAGATGCTTTGATATGAATTCCTACATAGATCAGAATGCTGGACTAAAAGTGACTTAATACTTAATCTTAACTAAATTAAATATAATTAATTTAGGTAATGTGACTACACTACATGGCTTTTGTTTCATCATTCTTTTGCATTGAAAGTGGCAATTTTGTGCCTTTGGAATAATTGGGAGAAACTTCATCATTTGAGAATTACATATAGCCCTGGGCTTCAAGGTGTGCATTGTTGCTGTAGTGCATGCCTAACACTTCTTCCATATTTACATTTATCTTTCCCCACAAATAGTTGCCTCCAAATTCAGGGAGTCCTCTTACATTTGCTGATAACAATAGAAGAAGCTATTGAAAACCAAGAAGACACTGTCTCAAGGCATCAATACCTTTGAAGATTAGCTACTGTTTTGGATTTGCCTGGTGAATCTAACTGTTTCTGTAACCTCAGCATCTTTCTCTTTTCTTCCCTGTCCAGTTACCTCTTCCCTTTATTCGTCTCGGTCCAATTTTGTACCTCCAATACACTTCTTCTTTTGTCTTTATCTTCTCCATCCAGCGCACCCATGCCTTTACTTCCCCCTATCTCCATTTCGGTTTCCATCTCCTTCTTCTGCTTCTTTACTGTTTCGGCTGAATGGAGGAAGGGGAATGTGTTTTTGTGTGTGCCTGTGCTCAGTGTGTGCAAGTGGTTTGTCTGTGTGAGATAATGGCTGCCATATGTAGATGGAAACCAATGGGATATCTTATTTTACAGGCAATTGATTTTTGAAGGATAAATATCACAAGTAGTTATTTACTGGGAATATGGGATTTCCAGTATTTGTTTTAGCCAAAGCTGCAACCCTAGGCTGACAAAGCAGAGAAGCTGGGATTTGTATAGGATTTTTGTCCTGTGTTTATCATTATTTTTTTCTTTCAGCTCATCCTGGGTGTGGGTGGCAGGGAATAACTTAACTACCCTTTCCATAAATGCAGTCTATAAATAACTTTCGTTAGTGTTTCAGTAGAATAAAGAAGGCAGTTCCATGAGCTTCCACGGAGCTTTACTCTCAACAGAATTCAAAGTGAAAGTCATTGAAACAGATGAAAAAATTCTTACAAAAATCTTTTTTGAAAAATCATGGGTTTAAGGCATTTGTTGGATGCTTAAAGCCTTTCTAGGTGATCACGCTCTGTCTGTAAATCAATACACATGTATATCACAGAACAGAGAGTAAATTTTTATAGTGATCAATAACCAGTCCATAAAGCACCTTACAGACATAAAAACTGATATTGATTAACCAATTATGTAAACCAATCAAACTGCTGCACATCTTACATATAATGTGACAAAATTTGGCCACACTTAAGGAAATTGAATCATTTGAACCTGAAAGTAAATGTATTAAGCAAAACTAGTCAGAATGACCAGGATATTTAATTAGGTGTGGGCTTAACAGCTCACAGCGAGTGTCAACATAAAATGAATGGTATAGTAAAACACATTTGGTGGTTTCACTGAGTCTTTTACCACATGGGCAAAGTCTGAATTTAAATGGGATGCCTTTGCTTCTCTCCGCTAAGACCACTGAAGGAAATGCATTGAACCATGCTCCTTCCTTGTATTATGTGTGAATTGTAATAAGTAATCTCAGGGGACTGTTTTAGTTAGACACATAGTTTAATAAATCAAGCATGTTGCTTGTTTGTTTGTTTATATAGTTTATAGGCTGTTCTGATTGAAGCTGGTTCTGATTACTTGGTCATTAGCCCTGGCTAATATTTAAATTAAACATTTACATTCAACAAATGCTTGGCTAATGTTTAAACTAAACAATCCCAGAAACTGGTTGAGTATTTGGGAGAGTTTTTCTATTGTTGAATCTCTTCAATATAAGACCCTTGCTGAGGTGCCGGGATATATGACTGCTTCTTTCATAACATCTGGGAGCTTTTTAAGTCAGTGTCACCAAATTTTTCCACCATAAAACTAATTGTGGCACCAGTGACAGCAGGACAAGGTGTCCTGATAAATAACTCTGAAGCATTTAGAAGAGTAGGAAGATGATTAAAGACAATAAAGAATTAAAGTGAAAAAAAAATACAGATGCAGAAGAATTCCCATGG